TAAACAGGAGTTGAGGTTGATTTGAAGGAGATGATATCTTTTATATCTGTTAAAGAGCACTTTGTACATAATTCCATGCAAAAGTAGAATTAGCTATAATTTTTTAAAATACCTATTTTTCAACTTTGGTCTGCCTTTTTTGGCTCCAGCTGATACTCAGTGAGGCTTACATTCATAAAACAATTGCAATCCATTAAAACACCCAATACAAGACAAGGTAATAAAAGTGCTAAAACATAAAAATTATAGTAAAACAGTGCTGAGAATAAATTTCTCCACTGAATATTATAATATGTTGCCTTTTGATATGTCATTTATTGTCTTCATTCACTGAAACTCAGAATGGCTTACACAGAGTACCAGATGGGCTGCCAACTGGTTTAGCTGAGGCAAGGTAATTGCATATTCTGCATTTGGAGCATAATGTGAAACAAACCTGGACTAAATTAAGAATTCACATGCAATATTGAGCCTAATTACAATTTTGCAGTGTTTAGGCTATTATAAGAGACAAGCTGAAGCTCGAAACTTACAGTGTTAGATTGATTGGCCCAAAGGCGCTTTCTAAAAGGCAACTGGACTTTTTTAGTTTTTTTTCTTGAAAATATTTTGCTTCTCATGTTTTCAAGAAAAAAGAAAGGAAATCCAGTTACCTTTTGAAAAGCACTTTTGAGACAATCAAGACCTGGATGATTGAAAATCTGCGTAGAAGATTTTCTATATTAGATAGATCCCATTTTTCCTTCTAGCAATCTTATTTTATTTTATCTATTTATTTAGTTTGTCAAACATGTATAAGAGAACAGATATGTTCTCTTATACATATACAGAATGTTTGTCGTCTGGCCCCATGGAAAAGACAAGCTAGACAATTTTCTAGTACACTTGAATAACATGCACCCGAAGATACAGTTCACTATGGAAATGGAGATTGAAAATCAACTCCCATTCTTAGATGTATTAATATACAAGAAAACTGATGCCACCCTAGGACATAGTGTTTACCAAAAGAAGACAAATACAAATCGATACCTAAACGCACACTCACACCATCATCCTTCGCAAATAAATTCAGTGGCAAAAACCTTAATTACTAGAACTAAACGTCTAGCAGATGAGACACATGTACAATCAGAGCTTCAGACTCTCACAGAGGTATTAATGGCAAATGGGTTCCACGAAAAAAAAAATAGAAGTATAATCCGGCAAGGGACATTAGGACAGAGCGAAACCCAAGAAGAAGAACAAAATATGGGAAAAGCCATCCTGCCCTATATAAAAGGGACCACCGATAAAATTAGTAAGATATTACAGAAACACAAAATAAAAATAGTGTTTCGCACAGATAGAAAAATATTGATGATGTTAAGAAACCCCAAGGATAAAATTGAATTGGAAAACCAAGGGGTATACGAAGTGCCATGTGCCTCCTGTCAGTCATCTTACATTGGACAGATGAATAGACGAATAGGTGTGTGTTTAGAAGATGGGATGTAATCACAGAGTCGGGTAGTGCATTCCAGGCATTGACCACTCTGTTGCTGAAGTCGTATTTTCTGCAATCCCATGTAGTGATTGGCAAAAATGGGACCTGGGTTCATGCAATGATTCTGTGCTACATTCCATAGTAGAGTGTGATGCATATTCCAATACAGTAGACCAAGTGGGACAATCAATGGACATCTTATTGGGAGAGAACAGATAACTAAGATTTATTCATTAAGGAAGAATCAGACAAGAGCCTGGCAGCCATGCTAGTTCTCTGGAGCATGTTGGGAAAATTTCCAGATTTTGTGGCGTTTTTGAGTTGATGGCCTGCCTTCACCTTGGCACAAGCTGCACAGACCAGTTGAAGACTTTAATAAATGTCCAGGTCACCTTATAATAGGATAGCTATAAATATGCTTCTAGAATAAAAGTTAAATACATCCTTCCCTGCTAAACAGCCAGATATTAATCTAGCTTTAGAGAGAAAAGGTGTGCAGTGAGAAGATGTGCCAGGATGACCTCATTCAACTCCTCCAGGGCTATTCATGTTGTGACAGCAATGTGTGAAGAAATCAATTTTCATTTCAAGTCGGATCCCAGGGACTGCTTAATTTTAAGATGTGCTAATGAAAAGGAAAGTTTTATTGGAAGATATATTTCAGCTGTTTATGTATTCAGGTGTAGGGAAGAGTGGAGAGCAAAGCAAATGGTTATCGAATCTAATCTAATGGTTTCTTCTTTGTTGTAAAATTCAGCCTTGATGCTAAAGCAAGAATGAACAAATATGGGCAATCTATAGCTCATAGCTGGCATGTGATTCCTAATCTTTTTCATAATATCCCCAAGGATTTCACATATTTTTTGCATAAAATTCACTGGCAGCTGCTAAAAATCATCTATACTTTCCTTCAAATAGGCTGTACTTCTATAAACAAAGAAACAAAACATCCATTTTTGTAAACTTCTAACAGGCTCACCCTGTCTTCTGGATCTAGACACTAAGAAATAACACAAAACCCAAAATGTTGTTTCTGTTTACAAAAAAGGTTGCTTTATCCTGTACAAAAGCAGTTCTCCCTTTATTTTTCCTTTATTTAATATGCTGCTGCTTCAGAAGTCCTATTATTATCCACCTTCATTCTCTGAATGGCCTGCTAGTTCTCTGAATGTTCAGTTATTCAGATGACTACTTGGGCTTTCTACTAGAAAAGGCTTTTTCAAGTTCCCTGTTACGGGAAACCAATACCTATTGTTCCCACCAGCAAAGTCCTATGTTCTGAGAAGATGGGAATTGTCATTCAAATACAGCTCATCTGTCTGGAACCCTCACTACATATCGGGCATTAATACAATTGAGCGAGTCCAGAGATATTTCACAAGAAGAGTCCTCCATTCCTCTGTTCACGACAGAATACCTTATGTCACCAGGCTTGAAATTTTGGGCCTAGACAACTTAGAACTGTGCCGTCTTCGGTCTGACCTAAGCATAGTACATAAAATTATCTGCTACAATGTCCTACTTGTCAATGACTACTTCAACTTCAACCACATCAATACATGAGCACACAATAGATAGAAACTTAAGGTAAACCGCTCCAAACTTGATTACATATGACTTCAGCAACAGAGTGGTCAGCTCCTGGAATGCACTACCTGACTCTGTGGTTTCTTCCCCAAATCCCCAAAACTTTAACCTTAGACTGTCTACTGTTGACTTCACCCCATTCCTAAGAGATCTGTAAGGGGCGTGCATAAGCGCACCAATGTGCCTACTGTCCCTGTCCTAATGTCCCCATTTATTCATATCTATTTCACGTATTCATAATCATGTTTATACTTATATCTGTAATCTTATATATGCTTTACAAAATAAATAAATAAAAATAAATAAAAAATAAATACATTCAACATTCAACATTGGTAGTACAGTGGAGCCTTGGTAGTACAGTGATCTAAGGCACCCTGTTATTAAGCTGGTTATTAAGACCAGCTGCCTGCAATTACTGCAGGTTCGAATCTCGCCAAGGCTCAAGGTTGACTCAGCCTTCCATCCTTTCTAAGGTAGGTAAATTGAGGACCCAGTTGTGGGGGCAATAAGCTGACTTTGTATAAATATACAAAAGGATGAAGGCTATTGCTGAGCACATTGTAAGCCGCCCTGAGTCTCCGGAGAAGGGCGGCATATAAATCAAATTTAAAAAAAAAAACATTCAGACTTGGTCTGCCTTGTGTAAAGAGAGGATCTGTAGAGGGTCTTCAACTTTTGTGGACTGATATGAGTGGGGACCTGGAGATGTGCCTTCTTGTTGATGATTCCCATTTTAAAGAACAACTTGCTCCCAGAGGTATAGAGTGCCTTCCTCACTTTTCACAAGGTGAAAAAAAACAATCCTGTTTTGGCAAGCTTTCAGCTAGGAAAGTGCACCTGGGCTATCTTTATAAATGTTATAGAGATTATTTATATTTATTTTCTTGCCTACTGTGTTTATGATGGTGAGTTTTGCGGTATATCTAATCTGGTTAATTGGTAGTATAATTTGGTAGTATAATTTTTAGTTGTTCATCTTTTCTGTTTTTATTTCTGCTGTATAATAAAACAGCCTGAGTCTGTCAAAGTAGGGGTGGCTTATAAATAACTACATAAATAAACAATATCTGGAAAATGTCAGTGTTTGGCAAACTACAGCTTTTTTTAAAAAAAAATAATTTGCTCATGCTCTAGAGCAATGTTAGTTGCATGATTGGACCACACTGGATGAGGGTTTTTTGGGGGGGAGTGAGGGTTACTAAGCAGAATTCCTTATTCTGTCCAAATCACTAATGTGGTGTCCAGTTTATTGTGTTCCAAGGCAGACACAAACCGCTACTTGCTATTTCAATTGTCACTGTGCTGAAAAACTGGGGGAGGAGGAATAAACTGCAATGCAAATACTCATTCAACAAAAATGGGGGGAGAAGGCGTAAGCCCACAGCCCATTTTGATTCTCTGAAGTGAAAGAGAGAATATTTGTTTAGTAATAGCAATAATCTTCACCTCTCAAAAGGTAAATTGTTTTAATTATCATGACCTTTCCCCAACTATTCTGAGAATCGCAGCTTTAGAAGGTCAGATTGCAGAGACCCCTAGCAGAACACAACATATTTATTTTCATTTACCAAGCAATTATCTCACATAGACGGTATTACTACTTGGAGTATCCAAGCCCTGTTGTCCTAACAAACATTTGACCTCTACTTCCTTATCCTTGCTTTGGCTAGAAAAGTTTGGATTTTACCTGCAATGAATTCCCCTTTGTTTACAAAAGAAATCACTAACAATTTACTAGAGTCAAGAGTACAATGGACATTTAGAGTGCTTTCTTTTACATAGTGTTTTAGTGAGGACTGTTCCCATGGAGATCAGCAAGAGTTGTGCCTAATTATACCTTGCCTTCTTTGCCCAACTGCCTAGTGACATTGTTATTTGAGTAATCTGTTGTATTCTAGTGGCCCAGATTACAGCAAGAAATGAGATTGGTTCTAGTCCAGAAGGATTGTGGACAAACGTGACCTGATGGATCTTTTTGACTGTTCTAGAGATTGTGGTGAAAGTAGCATTCTGTAATGTCTGGTAAGTGACATTTCCCCATATTTTAATACCAATTTCCCATCAAAGTATGACACTCAGTGTTCCAGAAGTAAATGTTCTATTTTAAGATGACCTAGCTGTGAGGGTTTTTCTTAATAGATCTCTTTATGAATATGATCTTCCATTTGAGTTTACTGTTCTTTCCTTAATGTCTTCCTATCTGAAGCAGTCTTTCTGATTAGTCATTTCATCTTCAGCCTCACAACATTCTGTTTCCATTCTTGTGAATGATGTATGACATTTTCAGAATGGACATCTCTGGAAACTTTCATAATATCCATTGACTATTGAAATAAATCTTTTACTATTTATTAAATTTTCAGCGAGTTTATGACAATACCAGCTTGATGCATGTCAACAGCTGCATTTAGGCAAAACTAGGATTTAGCATAGGGAATGGGCAATTTCTGGCCTCAGACTAATTTGAAAAGCTCTTCCCCATTCAGACCCACTAGCAAGACTGATCTGTCTCTTCCCTGAAAGCCTGCTATATGACAAGGAAAAAGAAAAGAGAATGATTGAAAGAGAGAATAAAATAACAAAAGCTATATCAGAAACAGCCAGTGAAGGGGCAATAGCCGTCTGGCCTTAAATGAACTTGAAACACTAAAAGGGATTAGACTATTGAGTATTCAGCTGGAAGACCATAGGAAGCAGTGGAAAGACAACCAGATAGACAATGGTATTTCCATGTTGTTGTAAAAAATAAATGTCTATAAAATTCCCTGCACTGAAATTTGAATTGAAGAAATCTGTACATTACCAGATAAAGAGGTCATAGAGACATAGGGCATAAGAGCCATGGTGGCACAGTGGTTAAAATGCAGTACCGCAGGCTACTTCTGCTGACTCCCGGCTGCCTGCAATTTGGCAGTTTGAATCTCAGCAGGCTCAAAGTTGACTCATCCTTCCATCCTTCCGAGGTTGGTAAAATGAGGATCCAGATTGTTGGGGGCAATATGTTGATTCTGTAAACTGTTTAGAGAGGGCTGTAAAGCACTGTGAAGCAGTATATAAGTCTAAGTGATATTGCTATTCGGTCATTTTGACTATGGCCTCACCGACTGCTTTCTTCAGCCCAACCCCATTGACATGCAATGCTGTCCCAAAAAATTATTCCTATAGGATTGTGACTCTGAAGAGAAAAATAATGCCTTTCCCTTATTTAGCATGATGAAATAAACTTAGGTGGCCTTGGACATTTCCACTTCCTTTGCCTCTACTCTACTCTACTTTAAAAAGTAATCCTCCCATTCCAGTCACAACTTAATGCAGTCTTTCCCAACCTGGTGCCTTCTAGATACATTGGGATTCCAACTACCAAAAGTTCCCATCGGCACAAGAGTGCTGCTAGTGATGAGTTCTGAGAGTAGCAATCTAACTACATCTGGAAGACCATATGCTTGATCAGTCGTTTTCAAACTTCAAAATTGTGGCACTTGAAGTCCAGTCATCTTCAAGTGTGCTAGATTTTGGAAGGCTGATTTAGCATGACATCAACTAAACTAAGGAAGTATCTATTTCAGCAATCTTGCTGCCGAGTCCATAGTTTGGCTTGTTATAAACTAACCATAATTAAAATAGTTAGATTTAGATGGTTAGATTAAGAGCCTGAAGTACAGTGGACTAAAGCACTGTTATTAACATCTGCTGCTTGCAATTACTGCAAGTTCAAACCTCACCAGGCTCAAGGTTGACTTACTTCCATCCTTTCAAAGGTAGGTGAAATGAGGACCCAGATTCTGGGGGCAATAAGCTGACTTTGTATAAATATACAAAAGTATGAAGGCTATTGCTTAACGCATTGTAAGCCGCCCTGAGTTTCCGGAGAAGGGCAGTATATAAATTAAAAAAGCAAAAAAAAGCAAAAAGCATAGCATAAGAAACTGCACTGTAACCAACATTTTCTCCATCTGTGAAGATCTCTGTCAGACCAGGAGAAGAGTATATCTGTACTGTACCTAAAGTTTACCATTTCTCTTTTTTTTTAAGTCAGGAGAAGGACCTGAAAAATGTTTGTTTTTAATTTTGATTAAGTGCAACTTCCCATCTCATTTGTAATTACTTTTTTTTTTATTAGTCCAATTTATATGCCATCCTTCTCCGTAGACTCAGGGCGGCTTACAATGCATTATAGCAATAGCCTGCCTACTTTTTTGTATATACCTGCTTATTAGGGCTTTCGGCCCCCGCTAAGCGGTGTTGCTCTATACAAAGTTGGCTTATTGCCCCCACAATCTGGGTCCTCAATTTACCTACCTCGAAAGGATGGAAGGCTGAGTCAACCTTAAGCCTGGTGAGATTCGAACTTGCACTAATTGCAGGCAGCTGGCAGCTAAGTGCTAGCACTTAACAGCACTTTAATCCGCTGCACCACCGAGGCTCTAATTACTCTTTACTTTCATTTGTTTGAAACAAGTCATGGATTATGATGGAAAAGGAAGGCTGCCCTGGTGCTTTTTGAAAGGCTAATTAATAAGGTAGTCTCCTTAATGTTGAGCTTAACACTATAATTTCATGGACACATTTTTGGCAACAGTACATAAAAAGTCATTGCCTTTTCCCCATATGCTGTTTGACTTCCCATTCTAGCCTAAAACCCTGATATTTCCATGTAACCTTGCATCTAAATGCTAACCAGGACCAAACCTGTTTAATCAAAGTCTTCAAGTGCTGCCATGTCTCACAGCTAATTATGCTGGTTAAATAGGTCCTTCAGTTAGTTCTTCTATATTTTCCCAGAAATATTGCAAGAGACGTAATCTACTCTCTAGCATTGCTGAGGCACTCTGAACAATACAGTTATGTCAGGAAACCAACATAATTGGTTTTTTACTTATGGTCTCAGTAAAGCAATATAACAGTCAGCAAAGCAATGCATGGATTAGATCTGTGAATCTGTAAATCTATAAACATCCAGTAAACACTATACTATGGTGTTTAATATCAAACACTGACAAAGCTGCTTTAAAATTTCAAGGGGAAAGGTGTCTGGAGCTGGAGTATATCTGCATTACTTCCTTATAAAGGTATAATGTGTATGTGTGTGGGAGAAGGAGGTTAGTCTGAAAGAAGCCTTTGCCTACAAGGTTACTGTTGTAGAGCTAAAGGAAGGGAAATGCCATGAGCCAACGAGTCTCAACCTTTTCTTCACCATTGACCCCCTTTAAATACATTTTGTGCCACTGACCATGGCCACGGACCACCAAGACTTAAGATTTAAATCAATTTAAGCCTTTGCAGACTCCCTGTGACGACCGTGCACCCACCCTCAACCGTAGACCACAGGTTAAGAACCACTGTCATGAGCTGTCTTGAATTCTTGGGAAAAAAGGTCATATAAATCTCACCAATCATGATTAGACCAGGATTCCTCAAAGTGGTCATTACAGTATGTACAAGAGTTGATGTGACTACTCATTATTATTGATGGTCACACAGTTATTATTACTTACTCTTATTCATAGTACTAATAATTAATGTAGTATTTATTAAATTATTTTCATAATTGGGGTAGACAAGCAATCTGAAACTTCATAAAGATGTCAATGAGCTGAAAAGTTTAGGGACCTTGGTTAGACATTCATTTCAAAACTAAATTCAGAAAACAATTATTTACACAATGGCTAGCTAAAGTATAATTGGTGCCATTAGATGTGATTAGATGGCCACCAGTTTAGATGGCTTAAAAGAGAGTTGAACAAAACAAGGAGGATCAGACTATCAATAGCTACTCATTTTGGTCTTTGTATACTCCATCCTGAACCAAAGACAAAATAAACCACAAATATCAGGTACTATGAAACAATGGATGACTATTGCCCTTCAGCCCCTGTTTACATTTCTTCATATAGATCTGCTCTAGCCCTGTAATTATTTTTTGTTTTGCAACTTTTCCAGATCTCCCCATTGTTTTCCAGTGTGATGACTAAAATTGTTTAGAGTGGTTCATTATATCTTTATGTAATAGGATTGCTATTTGAGTTTTTTTAAAGTTCCATATATAAAATAGGCCTGTTAAACTGTTTTTTCTTTCAAAACTCAAGGGATCTTGTTTTCAGAAAATCTAAACCAGTGTTTTGTCATATTTTAAGATGTGTGGACTTCAACTCCCAGAATTCCTCAGCCACTGTGCTTTAAACCCTCAAAGCATCCTAGACATCCCAGTTACAACCATGTGCCGGATTTCATTACATAACTACTTTTGTGCTGCAGTCCTTCATCATTTGTTTTAAGGGGTGTTTGCAAGCAGTGAAAGGCTGTAGCTCCCTGCTTTGTGATGGGGATTTTTCCAGCATAGATAAACACAGTGTCTTATGTTAACTGACAGTTTCTGTTGCATATGAGAAGCTACCATCACTTCGGGAGAGGTCATTCTTATAAATATATGTAAAATACTTTAGTGGATGAAGTGCGATTTGCTTCTTGAGATCAACTTTGATTTAAAAGCGCAGCTGTTCTCACTGCTGCAAGTTAAAAGGCACCTACCATCTCTGATCCAGTGAAAATGGAATGATTTATCTATTTTCGGTTTCTACATTTGGCCTTTAAGAATCCTTGTGACTAAAATGTCTGATACAGTTAAACTAGCAATGTGCATATAGCACTGCCCCCTGCTGTGAATATAACTGTTTCACATTCCTGGGTCACAAAACAGTTTAATCACATAATGGGATATTTATATGTAAACAGGAAAAAAAATAGGAGTAGAGGTTTGTTTTGGCTTTGTAAATTCCATTTCAATGTTTAAAGTCATGTTAGAGTGCAGCAGAAATAATATTTGGCCAAAAATGGTCTTAACAAGATGTTAATGAGAGAGAGAGAAAAAGAAAACATACATCAGAGTCTCATCTCTCTTCTGCTGAATTCAATTAAATTTGGAAATGCCTGCTGGTAATAGATCCTGTGTCTGCAATCAACAACTAAACAAACAACAACTACGTAACTAAACCAAAGTCTAAAAACATGAGGGAGAAAGTGAGTTTCAAAATTTGTTCTATATACTTCAGTTGAAGAAATAATGGTGGCAAGAACAGGAAGCTATATAAAGCTATATAAATATAATATGAATAAATAAATAAAATAACAACTAACTCTTTAGGATCAGACTAAAGTCCTGGAACTTTTCCCAGAGTGGCCAATTTATTTCTTTGGAAAGTCATGTAGGGAGTAGTTCTTTCCTGTTATTTCTCCCCAACAACTGAGATTCAATTATGTATCATTGTATGCTGCATAAAGTTGCATCAGCAGCTGAGGACCCCAATAAATAAACCAATTAAATAAATAACCATGGGCAGTCATTGCTAATTTGTCTTCTATGAGTTGTCTAATCCCCTTTGAAAGGCATCTATGTTTCTAGATCTCCCTGAAAAGAATTTTGTATAATGCAAACTATTTATTGCGGTCTGTATTATTATTTAATCTAATGGTGCTAATTTAATGTATTACAATTATATAATCTCTTTCTACATAGAAATCTGAAGAAGTTCATTTTCAGAGGCCTTTCTCCAGGTCCTTCCATCTACCAAGCAAAGGTATTTTTTGCAATGACACACAACAGTGAAACTTCTAATCTGAGTTTTGCAAACACAAGACTGTTTTCAGAAGTTTCAGTTACAACTGTATTTAGATACATTTTCAGATACTTTTATTTTTTTCTCTCCAAAATTTAAATCCATCTTATTAGCCTTAAAAGAATTGAGCTGCTGTGAGCCTTGGATTTATTCCTCTTTTCTCCTCTGAACAGATTGCTTCCTGGGTCATAATTCCATTTAAAACCCTTGCAGCAGAGCAGTGGTGGGTTTCAAATTTTTTTTACTACCGGTTCTGTGAGTGTGTGGCTTGGTGGGAGTGGCATGGCTTGGTGGGTGTGGCTTTGTGGGCATGGCAGGGGAAGGATACTGTAAAATATCCATTCCCACCCCAATCCAGGGGAAGGTTACTGCAAAATCCCCATTTCTTCCCGATCAGCTGGGACTCAGGTGGCAGAGAATAGATGGGGGCTGGGCCATTCAGAGGTGATATATACCGGTTCTCCGAACGACTCAAAGTTTCCGCTACCGGTTCTCCAGAACTGGTCAGAACCTGCTGAATACTACCTCTGCAGCAGAGCAGTGGGTAAATTCCAGACCTTTCGTTTTCTCCTGAAATCCAGAGGAAGAGTTGATTGGAGACCAACCAATACAGAATAGTGGAGTCTAAGATTTTGGCTAAACCAGTATTAGGTGGCTAGAGAATTCTGTGAGTTGGAAGCCCATGCAACTTAAAGTCACCGAGGTTGAGAAACACTGGGCTAGACCATAGAAGCAGTTTCCATGGTTGAGGGTAAACTTGAACCTGGATTGAGTGTTTCCAGTCATGCCCCAACCTTTAACCACTATACAGGCAGTCTTTGACTTACAATCACAACTGAGCCCAAAATTTCCATTCCTAAGTGAGACAGTTGTTAAGTGAAATTTGCCTCATTCTAGGATGCTTCTTATGAACTGAATCCCTTCAGTTATTAAGTTAGTAACACAGAATCTGATTTCTCGTTTGACCTTGCTTGTGAGAAGGTCACAAAAGATGATCACATGACCCTGGGATACTGCAACCATCATAAATACAGTTGCCAAGCATCTGAATTTTGATCACATGACCAAGGGAATTCTGCAACCATCGTAGGTGTGAAAAATGGTCATAAGTCACTATTTGCATGTTGTTATAACTTCGGTCACTAAACGAATGTTCCAAGTCCAGGCCTACCAATACAACATTGGTTTCTACTGCTTAGCGACTATATTGGAAAACATAGATGCCTTTGCTGGGCTGGCACAATAGTTTTTGTATAGTGGAGCAAAGAAAAATGAGATCTACTCACTTATTTAAAATTATATGATCACTGTATATCTTCTGTCTCCTATCTTTATTCTTAGGAGTCCAAGAAGCTGCTTTCCATAGGATGCAGTTATTGGTCCATCTAGCACAATATTGTTTCCACTGGTGTGCACAGTATTTGCAGATACATACAGTCCTTGAAAATGTGAGCCCCAGAAAAATGCATTAATTTCTACATGACCTAATGGTTGTTAAATATAATCTCATGATCATTAATAAAATTTAATCAATGGCTAAATATGTATTTTAGTAATGAAATATATATAAGATATACAAATTTTAGCAATCAATAATTTTTGTTAGTTTTAATTAAATTATACCATGTTTCATTGAATATGTGAATGACATCCACTATAATCCAGTAAGTGAAACTTATTTCCTAATAATCATGATTTACATTAGGCTAAGCTTACTACTGTTATTTTTTAATAGGAACTTCTTTCATTAACTTTCATTACTATGTCTGTTTTATCCTGGTCCAGAATGAATTGTAAGGCAGCAGCTATGAAATTATCTACTTAGGCTATTCAGTGTTTAACTCATGTGAGAAATAGAATAGGGTTGTTTGGGATGAAAGTAATCTATTTGTAATTTTGAAATGAGCCTATGCAAACTATTTACAGAATGTGGAATCATCAAGAATCTGCTTGATTCATGGACAGCTCAAAACCCTGCACTTACATGTAAACAGCAAAGAAAAGAATTTTACTTGATGATACCATGTGGTTTTTGCTTCTTAAAGCTTACCCAAATACAAAAAAGTCTGAATAAACCGCATCCTTGGGCAAATGTATTTTGAGTTTTGTTCTCCATCAGAAATCGCTGCTCTCTTCCACAGCTAGAACCTGATCTAGAAGCTAACAATTTCCAAGTGATGGACATTCTAATAGAAGTCCTAAATCTAGCATTTGGCCAGTGCATAATATTGACACAGAATCAAAATCACTTTGTCTCTGCTTCTGGATTTTGTGATTGGGGTGGGGAAAACTAAAACTTCGACTTTGGGTTTTGCTGATTAAATGTTTGTTGTTATAGAAATGGCTAGTATATATTATTATGTAAAAGCAAAATGTTGAGGCTGCATATTATTACCTTATTCTACTGCGCTAAAAAGAAAAGTCAATGCTTTTCTTTCTTTTTCTCCTTTTACTCTACACTTTTCCTCTTCCCTTTTTTCCTCCCTTACTTTTCCTTTGTTTTCATTTTCTTTGTAATTTATATTTTGATAAACTAATAAAAAATTAAATATCTGTAAAAGACCACTTAGTCTCAGCATCATTTTGCAACTTGTCATATACTGATGACATGACCAGCTTGTTTGGGCTCCTCCTGAAGGGAAAAGCTGCAACTACTTGTGGCTTTGGAGGTTGTTGCACCATTTGAATATGGCAGAATGACTCTTTGCACCTGGAACAAGCCTGTACAGAAACCCAAGTTGTGTTTCAGTTTCCTCTTGCTTGCTTCTTCTTGCAAGAACAAACCACTGTGGTGAATTTCAGTGCCAAGGCTCCTCAAAATTAAGCACCGGCAGATAACATGTAGCCATGCTATTTGCAGAGAAATAATACTCTTAGCCAACCAGGAGTCAGGATAGCAGTTTAGGTGTTAGAACAGGATTCTGAAAGCCCAAATTCAAGTCTATTGTTAGCCTTAGACGCTCACTAGATTACAAGTCTATTTTAGCCTTAGAAGCTCACTAGATTATTTTGGGCCAGTCTCTCTCCTCTCAATCCATTCTACCTCACAGGCCTTTTTTAGTAGGAAAAATTGGAGGATGGAGTTGCCATCTGCAATATCTTGAACTCCTGAAGGAAAAGCGAGACATCAATAAATTCTAATAAACATGTTATAGGCATTTGCGGTCTACCTTTGGCTAAATATGTCAATATAATTTAATTGCACATCAAAATGTAAAGGAAAAAGATGCATAAACTGAAACATTATGCTACTGTTTACAAAGTTTACAACAGCTAAAACTGTTCATTCCATTCAAAAGAAGTTAATCAAGTTCTGCATAATTCTAGATTCAAAACAGCCGGTGAAGCAACCAGTCCCCTGTCTATTATTCATTACAACTTGTAGCCTTAAGTATTTTTAACAAAAATAAAATGAAGTAAGTAAATCAGGGCACTCAGGAAAAGTAAAGAAATAAAGAAACCAGTTCACTTAGCGATGTTTTGTCTGGTGATATTTTATAAAGGGTGCAAATATAATGTGTAAAGGTTCTATTCAAAGGGTGGGATTGTTTACTTCTTATATTATAAATGCAGAGAAAATAGTTAAATGGGCCCAAAGGACTTGCTGTATTGGGAGTCAGCCCAAATAATTCCCTTTGTCTGCCCTTCACCTTATTCAACCCATTCTGTAGGTTGACACAGAAGGCCAGCAGAACATAATGGGTGAATAGACCTATTGTTAAGGCTACCTCAGACATTTTAACAGATTGCAGTTCATTAAGCATTCTTCTAGTGGGTGAGGGGGGCCAATCTTCTCTTAAGCAGTCACTTGCCTCCTCTCTGCTTTTGTGGCCTTCAAGTGACACCTGTTTGATTCTGTCCCTCCCGTTGTCAGCCAAGAATATTTCTCAACATTTGATGGGTGCTGGATGCCAATGCTGTCAGGTTTAATTTTCCCAGTCCTCCACAATATTGTTTTTTGTAAATCAAACAACTGAAAAGAAATGTTTGCTTTAAGAAATAAAACATGGCCTGGATCAATAACTAGGGATACAGTTTGTTTTCAATGATCCATCAAGAAGACTTTTTGGCTATACAGGAATCAATTAAAGCAGATTAAAAAAATCGAATAGAATAAACATTGGTTCCTCCTACTCCTCCTCAACAAGGAATTGGCTTCACTAATCTATGCTGCATTGGTTGCCGATTTGCTTCCGGGTCCAAATTAAGGTGCTGGTTGTCACCTTTAAAGCCCTTCATGGCTTGGGACCAGGTTATCTGAGGAACTGTCTCTTGCTGGTCACATCTACCTGACCCATTAGAGCAGGGAGGCAGGGAATGCTGTGGGTCCCATCCCTGAGAGAGATACACCTGGTGGGACCCAGAAGAAGGGCCTTCTCCATGGTGGCTCCCTCACTCTGGAACATCATTCCCCCAGAGATTAGAACAGTCCCCACACTGTCTTCCGGAAGGCGCTGAAGACCTGGTTCTGCCAGCGGGCCTGGGGAACCCAGAGTGGGATGGAGCCCATTAAATGGCTCGTGTGATCAGCTGTCGCTGGGGCAGGAGGTGGGAGGTGATTTTATTACATTAATTTATTTGATTTTTTATTAATTTTACTGTTTTTAAATGTGGTTTTTATATTCTGTAAGCCGCCTTGAGTTGCCATGGGTGAATAGGTGGCAATATAAATTTAATTAATAAATAAATAAATATGGTTCAGCTAAGTAAATTCGGCACAATTTCAAAAGTCAATTTCCACTCTCACTTTAAACCCCGGAATGTCAGAAGCATCTGCCTGAGGGTTCAAAAAAAACCCCATATGACACCATGTGATAACCATGTAACCCCATATGATAACCATGGCTTAGGACCTGGTTATCTACGGGACCGCCTGCTACCACCAATAGCCTCCCACCGGCCAGTACGGTCCCATAGAGAGGGGTTCCTCCGGGTGCCGTTGGCCAAAGAATGTCGACTGGTGGCCCCCAGGGGGAGAGCCTTCTCTGTGGGGGCACCTACAATCTGGAACGAGCTCACCCCGGAGATACGGAGGATCCCAGATCTGCGCACCTTCCGTCGCATGCTTAAGACTTTTTTATTTCATCAAGCTGGCCTGGCCTAAATCTTCTCCCCTTTTAAATGTAAATTTTAATTTGTTTTTAAATTATGGGGTATTTTAAATTTGTCTCAGCCAAATTATTTAATTCGTTTTTATTCTATTTTAAATTTTTGTATTTATGTGTTTTATTTTATGGCTGTTCACTGCCCTGAGTCCTTCAGGAGTAGGATGGTATAGAAATTTAATAAAATAAATAAATAAATAAATAAATGTGATCAAAGGCCTGTCCCTTCGCGGGTGCCCATATGTGGTGTGAAATGCGTCTATTCAGTTTGCACTTTATTCCAAGTCCTCTTCCATCTATTTCACCCTTTTTTCTGTTCCATCCAGCATCTCTCATTCCTTGAGCATAAACTTTAGGATTTCCTACAGATCTGAACCACAGATAACACCATTTTAAATGTGAGTTGTTTAGTTTGACTACATAAAGATTGGCATGCTTTGAATATTTTCATTTTAGGAACATTTAATGATTCCAGTGATTCAGACATACTGGACAAACCATTCTACATGACTGAGGTAAGCAGTAGTAGTCAGTTAAATTGTAGGCAACTGCACATCACTTGACTTGAAGCGAAAAACATCTCAACAATAGCAGTCAGTAGCTGGTCTAGAATTAAGGGCCTGGCCAATCAGTACGAGGTTAAAGTGAGTTGCAATCTGTATCTGTTTCAGTGGTGGGTTCCTCCCGGTTCCGCCGAGCCAGTAGCGGTGACGATATGATGTCACAAAACTGGTTCTGCCCCCCCCGGTCCCCCGGCCCCCCTGCATTATTCTTACCTTTTATTTGGCCTCACCCCCAATCTATTGCTGCCTCCTGAGTCCCAGCTGATCGGCTAGAGGGAAAAAAACTGTTTAAACTCTTTCCGAGGGGCTTCAAAGGGCCACCCTACAGTTGATCAGTGTTAAAAGAAAACAAATGAGTAGACCGGTGTCTGCAGAAATAAATGGGTAGACTGATACCTGCAAAAATAAATGAGTAGACCGGTGCCTGCAAAAATAAATGGGTAGACCAGTGCCTGCAAAAATAAATGGGTAGACCAGTACAACTCTGCAAGCAGTTAAAAGCCTGGTAGACCAGTACCTCTATTAAATCCTAAAGAATGGTCACATGACCATCAAGCCACGCCCACAAAATAAGCCACGCCCACAGAACCGGTAGTAAAAAAATTTAGAACCCACCCCTGATCTGTTGGATAGGCAAGCATTACTATGGTTTTATTATGGCTGCTGCAATAATAAAGTTACAGTATCTTTAAGTTGATCTAAGTAAGTAGGTGGAAAATTACGTCTCTTTTAGGATGAAGTTGTTGAGGTGCATTATTTGGGAAAAGTTGTGATAGAATGTGCTGTTATACCACCCTTTATTTTTTTTCTTCTACTGCATATTCATTTATTTTACCCATTTCTTTATCCTTTATC